CGGGCTCGGCGAGGCGCAGGGCAGCGGCCCGGCGAGCGGAGACCGGGAGACCGGGGCGCTCTGAGAACAGCGAGGCGACTGTGATTTTCCGCGCTGAGCCGCCCGCGGCCTCGCGGCCGCCAGCGCCGGACCTGAGGGGCGCGGGAGCCCGCGATCCCGAGGGGCCGCGTGGAGCGCGCAGAAGTTGCAGACCTCGCTGGCGCCCGCCGCTCCCCAGAAGCGCCCGTCGCTCGGCTCCTTCCAGCGGAAGAGGGTGGGAGGGTCCCCGCGGGGCTCCTCTGCGGGAAGTGGTGTGGGGCGCAGGCCAGCTTGGGGCCTTGCAGGCGGGGCGGCCACGCAGGCGGGGCGGCCAGAGGGCCCTCGGGTCAGCTGTCCGGTGAGTTGCCCTGTCCCGCCCGCGGCCCACAGCCGGACTCCAGCTCAGCACGGCCTGGCCGGGGCCTGGCCAGGGCCTGGCCAGGCGGTGACCCCAGACCCCTGCTGGCGGCTGCAGGTGCCCAGCGCGCCCGCCCGCCCGCCGCTGTGCGTGAGCTCGCCCGTCGGGTGGGGCCCGCGGGCAGAGGAAACTGGGCCACTGTCCCCGCAGCCCGTTTCTGGGGCAGCTGCTCCGCACCCAGCCGCGTCCCCGCGGAGCCTCCCACCTGCCCGCCGCCTGCCCGGCCTCGTCCAGACCTCTGCCCCTGCCGGCAGGCGGCTCCCCCAGGGCGGCCGACGGCCTCCCGCAGAGAAGGTGCCGGCCCTGCGGCCAGGCGCTCACTTAGTCCTGGGCCTCCCCTGGCTGGTGCTGACCGTCCAGCCCGGCGGTGGCCCTCCCCCTCACCCCTGCGGTCCCGGCGGGGCCCGTGGGCACTCACAGGTCCCGGCCCTGGCCAGCTGCTGCGGCAGGCCGTCCCTGGGGGCCGCTCTCGTCCACCAACCCGTGTCCTGCTGGAGGGCCGGGGCCACCGCCTGAACGGGCCAGTGCGATGTCCATGTGTCCGGCGCAGCACCGCCAAGGTGCCGTTCGCTCCGGCTCGGTGAGGAGCCGGCGAATGTCGCTACGCCGTGACGGGGCCAGAGGTCAGTGGTTCCCCCCGAGCAGAGTCCGTGGCGCGGAGCGGGTGGCCTGGCAGAAGTCCGCAAGGGCCCCGGGACGGCCACGGCCACGCAGGGCCGGCTCGGTGGAAGGCCGCGCGCCCTTGGGGGCCCGGAGGCTACGGACCTGCCGCCGTGGCCGCCGTGGCAGACGGCGCTGGGGAGGCCGCGGTGGGGAGGGCCGGCCAGTGTGAAGAGGTGGCCCTGCGCAGGGCCGGTCCCGCCCCTGCCCACCGCCCCCCACCCGGTTCTGGCCTCCGCCTTGGATCTGAGGGTCGGCGGGCAGGGCCCCGGGCAGCTCTGGGCGCTGGCCACGCGTTCAGAGGGCGCTGGGCCCCTTCCCTGTCCCCTTGCCAGGCCGCAGGCAGCTCCCGCCCCGTGGAGTCCAGGCGAGCCCCCTCTTGCTGCCCGGCCGCCGGGCCCCCGGGGGGGCCGCCAGGGTCTGCAGCTGTCCTGAAGCCACCCAGCCGCCTGGCTCCCTGCGGTGGGGAGAGGGCCCAGCACCCCCTCTGCACAGAGTGGCCAGCGCCCAGAGCTGCCCTGGGAGTGGACACACCCCCAGCACGGCCACCTGCCCACAGGTGCCTGACTGCGGCCTGGGCCTGGGACCACCCAAGCTGACCCAGACCGCGGATGGACGACGGGTCTGGTGGGGTCGTGGGGGGAGGGGGCTGTGCCCTGGAAGGGGCCCCCCACAAGGAGGCCTGGGCGCTCCTGCTGGCCTGCTCTGGCCCCGTTTTCCGTGAGGCTGACGCCTCTGGGCCGCAGCGCCTCTCCCTACGGGCATCCACGCGCTCAGAGCGCTCCGGGGAAGTGGAACCAGCCGTCCAGAGCCTGGCCTGCGCGGAGGCCGGGGGGCAGCCGGCTGCTCGCGGTGGCCCCGCTGTCCGGTCCTGGGACGCGAGGCCCCTCCGGCCTGGTCACGCGCGGCCACCA